TTTTTTTTTGCAACAAGAGAATAGTTGGAGTGCTTCAAGTTGAGTTATAACAAATTATTTTAGGTACTTTTGTCTTGTCCTTATTACACGTGGCAGTTATGTACCTTTGTTGTTATTTGTCGCGTTGTTTATTCACTATTACCATGGTTGTGTGACATTTGCAGTCATATGTCGAGAATGACAGAAGACAACTGGCAGGACCGACATGTGAACTGTCGGGATGTTCTGCAAGTCATCAACATGATGATCTTAATGTTTATGCCAATCCAAAGATCAATAACGATTGCAAGCAATAATGATAATCAAAAGTGTACTATAATAGATTTTAATGTACAACATGGTAGGGGAACAATTGTTGGCCGTAATTTGTATCCCTCTCCATTTCAACACTTGGCAGACCGATTTCCAAAGTCGTCACGCAGAGGGCAGTTTCTTTATGAACTGATATGTACCAATTTACGTCTTTATCTTCGAGTATTTTGGCTGGCGGTATATTCATGTTCGGAACTTTGAACTTCAATTTCATTTTTGTGCGCGGATCGAGAACACCAAGTTTCTCGTTCAACCGTAACAATAGCCCCGGTAGTGTAATACTGCTCGACACTAAAATGGAAGTGGTCTGGTCCCCAGTCCACTTTCATTCGTCATTCACCTGAATGAACTTTCCCCCGTGCGACACGATGAATCTCAAATTATTGTTCATACCTGAAATGTTGGGATTACAACGATAAGAATTATGCGCAATCAATATATCAATTATATAATAGCATGGAAGTGACACGTTCGAATGTTTAAACTTATGCAATAGTACAAGGTCAAATGAAGGGTGCCAAGAATTTTCAACTGTCCAATTCGACAGTTTAGTTAACTATCCCGACAGTTTATAAATGTCGGGTTCGACAGTTAAAATGTCGAGTTCATCAGTTCAACTGCCGAGAAGCTTTAAATGTGTTTGGTAACATTAATGCTTATAATCATTTCTCAACTACAACATCACAACCTATTTATAGAAATAAATGACTGAATGCTTCATTAAATATGGAATTATTCACATTTTCCTAAATGTTTTTGGTATATTTTTCCTTCAAAAATATAGAACGAACTTTCCCCCGTGCGACACGATGAATCTCAAATTATTGTTCATACCTGAAATGTTGGGATTACAACGATAAGAATTATGCGCAATCAATATATCAATTATATAATAGTATGGAAGTGACACGTTCGAATGTTTAAACTTATGCAATAGTACAAGGTCAAATGAAGGGTGCCAAGAATTTTCAACTGTCCAATTCGACAGTTTAGTTAACTATCCCGACAGTTTATAAATGTCGGGTTCGACAGTTAAAATGTCGAATTCGACAGTTCAACTGTCGAGAAGCTTTAAATGTGTTTGGTAACATTAATGCTTATAATCATTTCTCAACTACAACATCACAACCTATTTATAGAAATAAATGACTGAATGCTTCATTAAATATGGAATTATTCACATTTTCCTAAATGTTTTTGGTATATTTTTCCTTCAAAAATATATAAAAAAAAAAAAAGACAATGATGATTAATAGTAGTAATTATCATGTTGTTTTTAATATTTTAAAAAGAGTAAGCTATTACATAAAAATATAAACAATTCGTAATAACTAACCTCTAACCTTTCAAGATAGATGAAGAAGATGGATGAAATAATATCTTCTTGATGAAGAAGAAAATGGATGAAGAAGATGAATGAAATAAGAGTTTGTTTAACAAAAAATTTGTTTTTTTATGTTAACTAGGGTTTTGAAGGATTTTATATTCATTTTTATTAACTAGATTCGTATTTTACAATATAATATTTATATATTCAATGATTATAATATACAAATTAATCAATCAAATCACAACATTAATTGTTTTGAAAAACAATCATGAAGGAGCATTAAATGCTCAAAAAAAGTCAAATTAAGGGTAATTTAGACATTTGACAACAAGAAAGTGACATTTTTGTACAAATTGTATGCACATCAAAGTTTTTTGTGCATTTTCAAAAAAAGTGACATTTTGGTAAATTCCCCTATTTTGTATAGAGAATAGAGGAAGGTGTTGGAATCGATTGGTAGTCTGACATGGGCCCTCTGGTGGGAGAGAAATTCGATGTTGTTTGAAGGGAAAAGGAGAGACGGAGGAATTTTGGTGGAATCAGCATTTATGTACATCACATTGAGATTTCGGTCCAACTACAGTGAGAAGATGACTGAAATGTACGAGTGTCAGCTTAGAAAGGTCTGCCTGAGTATGAACTAAAATTTGGTTCAGTCTTACAAAATATTGCAATGCAAGAAGAGAGGATGGATGCGATTCTTTCCGTTTGATTTCTCGAGAAGGGGATGATGTAGCTTCACATGTTTTTTGTCCCAGTTAATTTAGGCTGGGTAGATTGATCCAGAAAATCTAATCGGGATGAAGGAATTTCAAAGAAAGCTTTTGATTTAGCCTCGAGCGAACTGTAATAACTCAGATGTTTAGATGAAAACTGAAAATAATCAAAACTTAAAATTAAACTCAAGGCCAAATGACTGAGCTATGGCATAATATTCAAGAGCAATCATGTGAATGGGACAGTATCTCCAAGAAGAAAAGCAAGAAAAGAAAATAATCGACTTCTCCTAATATTTAAAAAAATAATAATAAAAAATAAAAATAACCACCAGAGAAGCGAATCTTAAAATTTGAGTTTGCTGGCCAGCAAGTACCCCAACTCTCACTCTCCTTGTTGTTCATCATCGCGTTTAGGAGCTTCTTTGATATCATCAGTTCCATCATCCTACATTCAAATTCACATATTAATTATTATTTAGCACTAGCACGTCTCAATTTCTTGACTCATATTTGAAAACACCAACAGCTACACATGAAAATGGAAATGTGAAAAATATAAGGTCAGCATAGTCGATGATAGAAATTTTGTGCAAGTCATTGAACTTCATTTGTTTCAAGTTAATCGCCATCTTTTTTCACAATTTAATCACTTCGTCCATGTCTATTCACTTGACTAACAAAAATGTTAATGTGACATTCTAGAAGTTTTGGCAAATAACTAAATTGCTACATCATCTTTTTCATTAGTTTGACAAATTGACAAAATTGTAATAAAGTTTCGAGTTCAATAACCAACTTGAAACCAGATAAAATGTAATGACCAACATAAATTCTGCTAAAACTTTACTAAACGCCAATGAATTTAACTAGGTGGAAAGAAACTTAAACAAGAAGTTCCAAACATTGTATTGTAAGGAAGCAGATTTGATTAATACCTGCATGTCAGAGGTCCAGAGAGTCAGGTTATCGCGAAGAAGTTGCATAATCAAAGTGCTGTCTTTGTACGACTCCTCGCCTAGGGTATCCAACTGAGCAATTGCTTCGTCAAAGGCCTTGCCAACCCAGACAAGAAAATAAATATCACAAAAACTTGACATGTTAATATCATATACACAAATAAATGCAAGCCTGTTTTCCATAAAAAGAAAAACACGGTGGAACCATACCCAAATCTCAACTTCGGTAAACTAAATTTCCCCCAAATTCAGAACAGATACAAATTATCCGGCTTACCTGTTTAGCAAGACTACAAGCACGGTCAGGAGAGTTCAAAATTTCATAGTAGAACACGGAGAAGTTCAGAGCCAGCCCAAGTCGGATTGGGTGTGTTGGAGCAAGTTCTGCATTAGCAATGTCCTGCAAAAACATAACAGAGTAAGGCACAATCTTTATGACACAATGGTAAGTCATAAGCAGACATAATCTCAGCTCTAACATGTGATCCTAGATTACTGTTTACATGCAACAATAGTTGGCAAAGAAAAATCAAAATTTGGCCATTGTAAGATAATTTCAATAATCTCCAAAAGAAGAGATCTGAGTTGTTGAAAATTTTTGTACTTTCGATCAGGAAGGTTTTCATTCATTCAAATGTACTAACAAATTAACCGAAAGGCCCAAGGACAACAATCTCACTACAGACTAAAATTGCCAAACAAGTTTATCTTTTATCCCACAGCTAATTAAATGAGTCAAAAAACTCATCGGCAATGCCCGATCAAGTAAAGGTGATAGAATTGATCAATGTTACCTTAAATTGGTATAATTCTGTGAGGCATTATATCATTCATCTTACTTGCAATAATCAAACAAAAATCTCCAAAGTCAAAAGCACTAATTCACCGATTTCAGCACATCTTCATGGAGAAACACTAATTTTGGAGAAAATTATCACAAAATGGAAATTTTAATAGAAAATACTAGATTTGAAATGCCTATGGAAATCATATTGATTCATATAAGATTGCAACTTTACACGGAATCAAAACAAAAGTCAAATAAAACATTCAATTTGGAAAACGAGGAAAATATTTGAACAAAATAGAGAACAAACCTGAGCAGACTTGTAGGCAGAAAGGGTATTCTCCGCAGCATCTTTTCTTTCAGCACCAGTCAAAAACTCAGCCAAGTACCTATGATAATCCCCTTTCATTTTCAAATAAAAAACCTTGGAATCCCCAACAGAAGCCGAAGGAATCAGCGTGGAATCAAGCAATTTAAGAATTCCACCACAAATGTTCGAAAGTTCCGATTCAATCTTTGATCTGTACTCCTTAATAGTGCTCACACGGTCTTCATTCCCCCTCGACTCCTCCTTCTGCTCAATGGACGATATTATACGCCAGGACGCCCTCCGAGCCCCAATCACGTTCTTGTACGCCACAGAAAGCAGATTCCTCTCCTCAATGGTGAGTTCCTCGGACTCCGTTAACGAGGCCGACACTTTCTCCATGAATTCAACCATTTCCTCATAGCGCTCCGCCTGCTCGGCTAGTTTGGCCATGTAAACGTTCTCCTCACGCGCCGACACTGCGGCTGCCATGATTGTTATGTTTCTTTACCGGAAATTTGGAGTAGATTGCGAGATCTGTATAGTTTTTGGTGAGTTTCACGGGTTTGTGAAGAGATCTGCTGGATGGATTAGAAATATGAGGGGAGGGAATTTCGGATATTGTTACGAGTAGAATGTGAGATCGGTAAATGAGAAATCAAAGTGCTGCAAATTTGATGCATAAAAAACAAAATATTTTATGAATTATAGATTAAAAAATTTCAATTTTGACATACCTAAAGTGAATACATTATCTTGCTAAACAATCCGATTATATTACATATTATTATTGTTATGAAAATAATTTCGTATATGTTGATAATGATGATAATAAAACTAATGATAACAATAGTAATAATACAAAAGGAAAGAGTATAATTTTTGAAAACCTTACTATAAATCCTTGTACTTACCGAACATTCACATTCAAAGGTGGGAAATTTATTTTTGTTCAATATTTTACACACGGGCCCACTCTCATGTGAGTGAGAATTCAAAAATCTGACAAAAATTTTCTGTACTTGAAGAATTTTTGTAATTTTGAGGGATAGATCAATGATCAAATCTTGGGTTTACTTCTCAATGGTCATCAATTCAAGTCCCTTCAAAGTCACTGAGATGAGTACCCGACTGTAAATTTCAGAATCTCGTGAGATTAATCAAGGTACATGTAAGCTGATCCGAACACCCTCTGTCATAAATTTAAAAGAAAAATAAAAAATAAAAAAAGCAGTGCATTAGTATAATCGATGTCCGTTTTAGTAATTATACAATGATATAACAATAAATTCAAATTTATTTATCAAACATTAAAATATTGATCTTGAAATAAATAATAATTCTTAAACAAAAATTTGCAAAACAATAATTGATTCTTCCCGTTGCTACTTCTTTCTTTAACACAGCAAAAATTGATTCTGTTAAAAATACTAATGGTACCAAATCAAGCCTTAACTTTTATTTCCATTTTAACTATTAATGGAGAATTAAAAATAGATATAGAAATATAAATAAACTAAAATGGGTAATTTCATGTGTAGAGACTGTACTCAGTTCATACATATTTCAATTGGGTCACAGAAATTAAATTTAATTTCGAATTCGGTCTTTGAAATTTAATTAAGTTTTTTAATTTCATCACTTCCATTACATGCTATCTTCCAAATTGATGAAAATTTAATCAACCTTCATGCCTAATAAGTGTGTTTAAAATTCTTATTTAGGGCCCGTTTGGTAGAGATTTTGAGAATTGAGTTTTTGACCGTTAGAAGAAAAGTGGGGTCCACATGTGAGAGAAGAAGTCAAAAATTACGACTTGAATAGTAAAATAACGGTCAAAAAATCAATTTTTTGGGACAAAAAATCCCTACCAAACGGGGCCTTAGTCTTTTAAAGTTACGCATAAAGTGTTAATAAAAAAGCAGAGATTTTAAGCTTAATTGGAGAAAAAAATGGTGGAATTGAATACATACAAAAAATTGTGGACTTGAATAAAAGCCTTGGACAATTGATTGGATGATTTCATAAGTTTTGGGACAAAAGCTGATTAATTAAGAACCTTAGGGATCAACTCGAACGTTTTCAAAACCTGAAGGACCAAAAATAAAGAATTCAAAAGATGAAGGACTAAGGTGGGCAATGGTCATTGTGCATCAACCATCCTAGTGTCCATTGGTCACCAATGAATCACCGATCCATCATAATTGATTGGACTACACATACTCAAAATTTCAAACGCCAACATAATAATCAATATTCTCATAAAAACACAATTCAGAACGAGCAAAAATATCCCTATTTTCTCTCATCTCCTCTAAAAAAGATAGCGAGGTATACTACCTGGCAACGCCAAAGTTTATAAAGAGTCATAAATTGAATAGAGCTCAATCGCTTTTTAAGTTGTTGAACTTGTTCGTTTGATGCGAAGCATGTTACAAAGGGACTATTCAAGATTTCTTTGAAAATCTCTATGCTAGATGGGCCGAAGAAATTGGGGAATAATTTTGAGGGTTTTTGTTTTCACTTATTTAGCCCTTCCTTGATTATCATTATTTTCAAATTATATTTTTTTCTCTATTTTTTTTTATCACAAATTCTTTAATAAAATAATATTATACGCAAACATAAAATTTTTCCTTATTTCATACATTCTTCGTCAATCTACTCTTTCAAAATGCATCCTTAGAATAAAATGGAGCTCAAACAAGATCTTAATAATTGGGCCATGAGTCGTTCCTCATGAATTGTTAGACTAGACAATCAAGCTTTACATGATCCGTTCATTATGATAGACAAAAACGTAAACCAGCTGAATCAAGTTAGGGTTAGTTCTAATTCAATTTTTTAATACGACAATCATTTTGGATCTCAGAGGTTCAACTTATTTTGATATCTCTAAGTATTGAAAAATTTAAAGAAAATCATTTTTTCAAATTTCAATTATAAAAAGCCAGTTATTGTCCTTTGTTATTCAAAAACCAATTATTTTTATTTTAAAAATAATTTAAATATATATTTTAAAACATGCTTTTTATTTTGTTCCAATTTTGTTTTTAATTTCTAAAATTTAAATTAAATAAAATAAGATTTTTATAGTTTCAATTTTTTAGAGAAAAATGTTTTCTCCTTCTTCAACATCATTGTAAGAGGTCACAGACATAAACTACCACAATTGCCATATTTTATGTTTACAAAGCACACATGTTATCGAGCCGGTATTTGACATGTCTCATGAATACAATCATAGTAATACAAATGTCAAAATTTGACATGTTACCCATGTCATAATCGAATCAATTTTTTTGGAAAATGAAAGTGCCACAATAATTTTATTGTGTAAAATTACCGATCACATATTAACTTTATACATACTTAAATATTGATGGTGATATGTAACTGTTAATATGAATTTCATACTGTTTCACAAGGAACTATAAAAAAAAATCGCATTAATTCAAATCGAATTGAACCTGTTTGTTTGAAAATCGTTGGTTTGAGTCCACGTAAATTCGTGATTTTTTTCCCATCAAATCAAACCAAACTGTTTCAAAATAGTTTAGTCTGAGTTTCGATTTTCAAAAATCTTACTAAACTGAACCGAAACTTTTTTATTTTTAATTAATAATTTAATTTTATGAAATTATAAAGTTTATAGTTTTTCAGAAAAAATACCAATTTACAGGCTGTAGCAATCAGCAATACAAATTACAAAATGATATTTGAAGCCCCCATGGCATATCTCCCAGTGGCAAAGGGGAGGGCGGATAGGGCTCAGTGCGGCAGTGTACAGAGTTCGATTCCCCGTAAGGTGGAATTGGCTTTGTTGCAAGCGGGAGTTACCATATGGGTTAACAGCCTTGGCCTATCCATATGCTCTCCACCCTGGCTCCTGGGAGGCACATCCTGGGATTTACCTCCTCCACGATGGCCCAGGACAGGGTCGGTGGGGGCCCTTAAGGTTGGGGTTCAACCTTTTTTTTACAAAATGATATTTGAAATTTTGAATTGGGCCATACTAAAGTAGCCGATAGTAAACAACAAAGAGGCCCGATTTTTTAAATTGAACTTCAAGCTTCAATAATTAAAAAAGGCCAAACTCTTAAATTTCCTTAATATTAAAAATATAGAAAATAAGACATTGAACTTCAAACTTCAAAGGCTTGGATCTCATTTCCCCTTCCAAGCGAGTTCACTCCCAAAGCATCATATCTTCAAGATTTCTCTAAAATTGATCAAGTTTCTTCCAAGAATTTTCAATTATTCCTTTAAGGATTACTTCGCAACACTCCCCCCCCC